GGGTTTGAACCGCCAGCCTTCTGGTTAGCAGTCAAGTGCCTTTAGGCACTATGCTACCAGGGTTAGAGGGGTTATATTAAGAAATTCACTGTACCACACCTCCAAGTCATAGGAATCAGTTTTGGGCTGATCCTGGTTATTATGCCCCCTAAAGTTAGGTAGGTTTTGAAGCTACTAATATTACTACCCCCATGTTACAGGAATCCTGGAGGAAACAGCCATAGGAAATGTCCTTTTGCCTTTATGACATTGCTGCTGTTGAGGACACTGTATGCCACATCCCCTTTAAAATGACCCATAAAAGACAATGACTCAGACTAATGCCCCATGAAATACTGAATTTCTCTGAAGAACTGGTCTGCCTTTCCCTCAAAATCAGTGCCTGTCATATAAATTATAATGATATAAATTATAATGATTCTCTTGTGTTAGCCAGAGATATCAAACACAAGTGGACAGCTAACATAACCCGCAGGACCTTGCACTCACATATTCCAACACTAGGAACTCAGTGTTCATTCTACACACACATTACATTCCGGATCCTAATTTGCCTCATGCTGAAGCAGGAGTTTATTTCTCTCCAGCTCTTATTTCTCCTAATTTATACTTTGCAGATAACTGAACTGATATTTTACAAGCCTCCACAAATCCATTAGGGAACAAAGGAAAGAATAAAATTTTACCTGAGCCTTGACCATTTTCTTTTGTTCTAGAGGCATAGCCAGCAACTGGGATGCTCTTTGTGTCTTCTGGATCAACTCTAACTTTCTGTTCAGAAATCTCAGTCTCCCGTCAAGGGTATCCCCAGAAGTAACAAAACCCCAATCCCTGGGAACTCTTCCTCCTTCCTTCAATTGATTGTCTTGGTATCAGGGAGTCAGGACCTGTGGGCTTTAGGGAAAATTAAATTGAGTGGTATACAATCTCTGGGCCCATATGCTATCAAGCTCATGGCATTCACCTTAACACGATGTCCCCAGTACAGGTGACTGTCCCTGTATTTAGTGTCCCACAAGATTTTACACCCCTAAGAAATAAAGCCTAAGATTCAGAATGTACAATGATAAGGGTAAAAGATATCATTTCAAAAACTGGTACCTGAACAATCAGATATACATGTGGAAAAAAATTAATAAATAAGGTTGATCCCTACCTCAACAACATGGACAAATTATCAATTTAGGAGCAACTGTGACTCTCAATGAGAAAGGTAAATAAACAAAGATTTAAGATCAGATCACATTAGGGTATACAAAGGTATTTTAAATAAGCCACACAAAGCACTAACTAGAAAGCAAAGACTATTTTGCTGGAGGTACAGGCAGTTGACTTACGTGTAACACGTGACTTACACACAACACGTGACTCACACAGACCATATGGCTTATATACAATGCATGACTTACATACATGTGAATTACATGCAATACAACATGTGACTTACATGCAACCCCTAGTTAGGAACCAACCCCTGTGAAATCTGTTCTATTAAAAATTCGAGGTAAATACAATCAATGGCCATAATAATAAACAGGCAGTACGTTGCAATGTGCATCAAAACATTCTTCTTATTATTATTATTATCACTGTATTATTACATTAAAGATGTTTTAGCGTCTCTAGAAGTGTTTCTCTAATGTTTTCTATGCATACAAAGATACACTATGTACTAAGACAGCCACTGGACTAACCAATGTTAGATATGAACTGTCCTGATTTACATAATTCAACTTCAAGACAGATTTAGGAATAGAACTTGTTCATAATCTGGAGACTGCCTACGCTATAAACTGGTACAGTCACATTAGAAAACACTTTGGCATCATCTACTAGCTAAAATTATATATTCTCATTAAAATAACAATTTAACTCTGAGCTATTCATCATCTAAGTATGTATCCCCTGATTGGAAAATAGTGG